TATTACCTTTAACTTTCTCTTTTAAGATAAAATAAAAGCTTCAACTTCAGCTCAGCAATCCGGTTTGCATGTGGTTTTTTGCCACTCATTATATGTATTTATATAAGCGTTAATATAATTGGATGCAACTATAGTTCACACAAACATTCAAAGCCTTTCTTGTCCGCATCGTGAAATCGAGTTGTTCTTGGAAACCATTTCAATTAATTTGTGAGGTTAACGCTATTAAGACATATTTTATATATAATAATTAATAGAGCCATAGTTTCAGAAACAGGTGAGCGTGGAAACATCATCGAAAATCCCAAATGCACTCTCTTTTGAATGAAAACTTTGCAAAGTTCACAAGTGCAAGAAAAAGAAGGTGGGAATTTTTTGTCTTCTTTTTTATAACCAAATTTTCACACTTTCCAAATCGAACATTTCTCAGACACAGACTATGTTTAAATAGAAAGAAGGGGAAGATTGCAGGGAGAGGGATGGGGAGAGGGAGGGAGATAGAAAGAAAAAGAGAGACAGAGAAAGAGAGACAGAGAAAGAGAGAGAGAGAGAGAGCAAGGGACAAAAGGAGGGAGAGGGGGAGAGCGAGAGAGATGAAATATCTTTATAGAGAACTGTAATTAATTTTGCCTTGTACACAAATTGACTTGAGAGGGTGCTGAAGGCTTAATTGCTCAGGGCACGGTAAATTCAGCCTATATCTGTAGAAAATTGTAAATAATTATTGCTTCAACGTTTTTACTATAGTAATAACCAACCATTCATTAGCTTGTTTTAAATTGTAACAATAATTGACCGAGCTTGCATGCGGAGCTTCACTCTCTATTTTCTTAAAATTCAAGCCCTCAAGAAATAACTTTTATTCCCCTCCCGCACATTGTGTCGCTACTCCTCGTGCGCATAATGTCATTTCGGAATGCTCACAATGTGTGACGTCACAATGCGATCTGGTACTGAAAGCAAAGGTCGTTGTCAATGGTAATGACTACTCTTTTGACCTCAAGGTCATATCATGTTGCGTGGTAAACAGCTTAAATCTAAATAATGTTATCCGGGTTAAAGGTCTTATCACTCAATCCAACATACTTTAATTGTCTCTGATTTCCACGGAAAGGATAAGAAATTCTTATTTAGATGAACAGAGTGGGGAAATTGGAGATCACTTCACGGCCTTATAATTACGTCAGTATAAACTAAAGTTTGTAAAAAAAATCTGCATATCTAGATCATTTAGAAAGGGGGGCAGAGTGTCGGTCAAAAATTAACTTAGATTTGAAAATATTGCCGACAGACGTTCGAAAAGTTAATTCAAGAAGCAAAAAGAAGGCCTTCCAAAAATCAAAAAATGTAATTATTAAAAATCTGAAGGGGGACGCCCCCCCTCCCTCCAGCAACGCTCAAAGTATGTCTCTGTTCCCATTTTGGCGGGAAAGATGAGAGGTCATGAAAACTGACAGACAGCCCGGGTTCATTCTCTTGACTCGTGAGAAGAATGTCACTTGATCTCATGCCCTAACAATGAATATTTATGTTTCTCTATCATTGTTTATAATAATGTTTGTGTAAAACATATAGATATAATCATGATGTGATTTCAAACAGTAGCTGTTATGCATTCCATCGGGATGATGATAGTTCGTTAAATCTTTAAAGCAAAAGAAAGACTATTATTGCTCACAGCTACATTTTATTCACCACAATCCCTCCATTCCTGAAAAACAAATGATGCTCCAATGATGACCATAAATCGTTTAAACTACTTGCATTCGCGAGCAATGCTGAGAACTAAAAGGGCGTTAACTCACACAAAGTAAGAGCCCCTTTTTATCATAATCAAACAGTGATGATGACATATAATGGTCCATTTAAAAAATAGATTGAATTCATGTCTCAACAATGACTAATCTTTGAAAGATAACGGCCCAAGCTGCGTGAATGAACTTGAGTATCTAAGAGGTCGACCCGAACAGGGGCACATTTTGCCTCGTTGGGTGACTTGGGTCTATAAACTTGGTGGAAGGGCAAACAAACTGTGCACGCACTGGATGCGTTTCCGTCTCATGACCATATTGCGTTTGATTGATGCCAGGAATTTCAAAAGGTAAATAATCATTAAATCCTGAACTTGGCAAGACCTTGAGAAATTAAAAGAAATTATTTTGTAATAAAAACTGGCATTTTTGCATATTTTCTACAACGTCCCTATTCATATATTAAGAGACATTTTTATTTTATTGGAACGATGTAGCAATAAAAGAAAAAAATATTGTTGCCAATTTGAAGAACAGTGTGTGATCAATTTTGCCCTTTCAAAAATCCCGCCCTAAAAGGGTTTAAAAATGATAATGTTTGTCGCATTCCTCGTAACGCTTACAAGGGATTTTAGATATTTCGCGGCCACCTTTCGAACAATCTTCTTCCCGCCGATATGCTCGCCATAAAATTGAAAATATATACTTGCACAAACAATCGTTCTTTGAAGCTGGGGTTTTCCCCCACTGTGTACCCTATACCTAAAACTGAAGTCTAGCATACAAATAGATACCTTTGCATTAATCAATTTTCAAAGAAACTGCATTGGGTACTAAATCAATACTAAAATGAGAACAGGAAGTGTCATAATTATATTTGCACAACGGAATATGATTCGAATTATTAATTCGACGTAGCCATTGTTCAGATAATTTAAGAAATATTCTCTAGAGTATAGAAGCATAATTATGTTGATAGAGGCACAGTTTCCATATCCTCGTTCTACACCTGCAGTGAATAAAAAGAAAGACAATGAATGACCGAATGAGAGAAACAGATGAAAATAAAATGGACAGTGAATGTATTAGTATGGACAATGAAAATAAGCTGACACTGGTGAAGAGACAAATTAATGAACAATAATAGTATACAATCATTTTCACAGATGCATATCCATGCATTCAATTTCATATTTTCTGGGTTTTTTTTGCCCGATATGTTATTAATTTGGACATTTGACTACTCAATAGACCTGTTTAAATTTGTAGTTTACGTTGTTTTTTTATGAATATTTTATTCCCGTATTTTGCATGTCAGTGAATTTGTGTTCTGTCTTTCCATTCTTTTCTGTCAACAATGAAGAATACCTTAGCTGTGTTGCACAAGTAAACCAAATACGTATAACTTACGATGATTTAAATGACCGTGAGTGAAGATGTAAGATTAAACGATTCTGTTCCAATTCTTGATTCTGACTTTAATCAACAATATGTAAATGATTGCAAATATTATTTAGAAGATGAATTCAAAGAGTCTATAGATCCAAATTTAGTACAACTTAGTGCTAAACACTTTAACTCGAGGAGTATGGCCAAAAACTTTGATCTAATTTCTGCCTACCTTAGCAGCCTCGGTATAACAGAAACCTGGCTGAATTCAGAAAACGAAAAATTGTTACATGTTGGATGGATATAACTTTATTAATAATAACAGAAAAGTTGGTAGAGGAGGAGGCGAAGGAATATTTTTAGATGAAAAGTTGTGTTATCGATTACGGGATGACTTGAATCCCACGTTTTCTTCATGTGAAATTGTATTTGTTGAAATTAATATACCTCGAGTAAAAAGTATAGATGAAAAGTTGTGTTATCGATTACGGGATGACTTGAATCCCACGTTTTCTTCATGTGAAACTGTATTTGTTGAAATTAATATACCTCGAGTAAAAAGTATAGTAATCGGTGAAATCTACAGATTAGTCATCGCATGTTTGAATGAAGTTGGTCGTGAAGTGCATGGGGGCAATTGAGAGTTGCCTTTTGTACCGCCATTCTGAAAGAAGACAAATTCTCTCGATCGTTCACAACATGTTGTTTATTTTCAACAGAAAATTCCTTCTTTTCTTCATGTACTGTATTGTTCATCCGGGCCAGGAAGGAATGATCCCCCGGTGTTCACCTCACCTCGCGAATCCTTAAATATAAACCCTCGATCGACCCCCCCCCCCCCCCTTAAGGCCCGGAAAGGATGGGGAAAGGGGACGGTATAGGCTTCTACTAGATCTGCAACAATGAATGGAATTGGACATTTCGCGACATTGGCGGATCCATTGGAGGAGGAGACAAAACAGTTACTACAGTTGCTGGCAGCAAAATGAAGGGGCAAAGAATAACATGGGGGGGGGGGGGGTGTTGAAGAAGAAGGAAAACAACCCGGCAAAACACAGATATTGTTTACACCGACGCCGAATGTCGCGCTTTAAATCGGTGATCAATTCGGCGTCATTTTTGTTTACTTTTCAAAAAATCTCACGATCTCCTCAGATATGTTATGCTCTGATAAGCGTGTCAATTGGTGACAGAGCGTACAAAGTGGGGTCACCGCTTTGAACCAAGCTCTGTTAAACTCTGTTAAGCTTTCCTACGCTTTGAGCAAAACTTTGATAAGCTTTGTGACGCTTTGATAAGCTTTAATACGCTCTCCCCGCTTTACGCAATTCGTGACAGATCGCCTCAAATTTTTAAACAGTTTAAAAAATGTTGGCGCTCTTGCCGAATGTCCCGAATTGCTCAAAGCTTTCTCACGCTCTATTACGGTCTTTACGCTTTAATTAAGCAAAACACAGATATTTTCCAGAGTTTTGATAGGCTTATCTAATAATCTAAATCTCTTACAAACGTGCGCAAACAACATGGAATTGGGGGTTCATTACATAGTTTCAGCTGGGTATATCTCATAGAGATATATATATCTACATACCACTTATGACAAAATTTTTATCCGCATTAAGCCTAGACCTGGGCTACAGTTAGTAGGCTTGGATCTTGTGACAAATGATTTTGAATACACAAATACATTTTAATCTTTATTAGGCCTATAGTAAGTTAGGTATTTTTTTAATGTAAATTTATGTATTTACGTCATGAGAGTATACTATTTTATTTCATTTTACTTAAACAAAATTAATAGTTTTGCACAAAATAAATTTTCACATTTGGCACCCCATAGTACAATGCATTGCAATTTAATTTTCTGTAGGCGGTTTTTCAAAAGAAGAAAAGTCCAAAAAAAAAGACTCCGAACTGCTGTAATTTGCTGTCATTTCCACTCACTGGTGAACCATGGCGTCAAATAAAGACTGGTACATGAAAGATGTAAGCATTTTGTACCGATGTTTGTAGTTATTTATTAATTAATATTAATGAACTCAAATTATCAAAGAAAACCTTCGACTTCGAGAGGCGAAATTCTCACATGTCACGATGCACTGCGCGATGTGTAAGACGGAAATGACAAAGCAGTGAGCACAATGCTCGACATTGTACCGGGCCCGCTGCCGTCGGCCGTCGGGGAGGCTCCACCTCCACGATGCTACTGACGCACACTAACAGTACTAACTAAGCATCTTTAGGAGTTTAGCATAGGTAGACACATAGATCTAGAACTTTTGTGCATTGAGTGCTGTACTGTACAGTGAGCTTACGCACTCCCATCAGTAGGGGCGCTGGTACAAGAATAAGGATCGTCTCGTTAAACGCGGACTGATTATGGCGATGCGTCCTCAAAAATAAGGATCGTCGTTTCATAATATTTTTGATTGGCACATTTTGACATTGGCGATGCAAAAAACGGATTAGATCTAGACTCTAGTCTAAGCGGCCTACACAATGATTTTCTTGATGCATTATTGCATTTTGCATTGACTTTGTCTTTGTACAGAGACTTTCACATTATGACTGAGCAATAATCCTTGGCCTTGGCCCTTGGGTAGATGGACAACCCATAAAGTAGATGGTGAACTAGGATTATTTTCCCCCAGGGAATCAGTTTTTGGCATCGCCAGCGGGCGGTTCGGAAACCCGAAACCCGCAGAGCGCTGATGAAAAAAAATGTCTGCGAAAATGCAGACGATCCAGGCTTATTTTTGAGGATGTATTTTGTCAGCGTTTATGAGGACATCCTCATTTTGTGAAACACTAAGCGGACGAGTCAAGCGAAAGCATCGAGATGTCGTTGATCTTGTTGTACTTATGACGGTTTTGTGAGAGAAAAAAAAACCCTGTTTTCTATCATCTTTCTTCTTTACCCACTGCAGGTGTTTCATTGGAGGACAGGGGCAAGTATAGCCTGGTCTATGCTCTTGCTTCCACCAGCTCTAGGGGTTTATATCTGCCTGGCCCATTTTTCTCTCCTTCATCCTACAGCATGGCTTATAGGTAAGACAACTAGCCAGGTAATATATCTTTTGCTGCTTGCAGTGAATTTCAATTTCAGCATGCATCACTCAACCAAACTTTGAAATATGATATGCCTATAGATTGGACAAGCACTGGTTCTCTCAACACCAAATGCTTCCATAAAATTAAATACATGCCTCCACCCACCATGCAAGTAATTATAGTTCAGTTAAGAATCAAGCACCACTCGATGAAACAACCAGAAGTTTAACAGGATCACCTCTCACTTCCCTACACTAATGCTGATGCTGATCATATACATTAATTTGTTACTTTGAGCACATGATTGTTTAGACCCAAACCTTCAGTCTCTGACATCCATGACACTAGTCCAGACTATTTTTGGCTCAAGGTTTAAGAGTTGTCAGCTTTAAGAGTTTCTTATTAGGCCTAACAAAAAAAGATGTTGTATTGCCCTGGTATTGGGTCGGTCAGTCGGAAATCTTTAGACAAAAAAGCTTTTTTTTTCTCCCTCTTTGGGCTGATATTTGACAGCCGACCGTAGATTTCAAGATTTTTGGGTCTGTCGCAAAGGGCAATACATTAATACAACATCTTTTTTTTAAAGGCCTTATCAAGGTTCTAATATGGTTAGATTGCTAAATTTGTTCAAGGCCAAGGTGCTTGGTCATTTGCTCTCCCATACGTTACCAATCTTTGTGGGATGATAATGATGGACTTAAATTGACAAAGAATAATTATTTTACTTGAAATTTGATCTGGGCCCTCTTTCTGAAAACTTGTTATCAATAACAAATGCTAAATTTCTATAACAAATTTGCTCCCAGCCAATCAAATGCCACATTTTCAGTAGCTTATGGCAGTTATTGATAACAATTTTTATGAAACAGGACCCATTCTAAGCTAAAGTAGGGCTATCTGCTAATACAATCTTCGGTCGAACTGAAATATTTGATTTTGTTGATAACGTATGGATTACTTCATTAGTAATACAAAGTCATAGTTCTGTTCTTTTCAAGATGCATTTTCTCCAATTATACACGTTTGCAAGAAACTTGGTCTGTTCCACTTAAAACATGACAAGGATACAGAAACATCTCCTTCCACTAATGCTTAAAAATTGAGCAAAGCTGTCTAATTTGATTATTTCTTATACCATTTCTTTTGACCACCATTGACCCTCATACCTTGAGGAGGCGCGATAGCTCAGTTGGTAGAGCAGTGGTCTCGTAAACCGGCAAACCGGGTTCGAAACCAAGGCGATGCGCTAGTGCCCTTTGGTAAGGCATTAATTCTCATTACCAGCTCTCTCGGAGAGGACCTAAAGCCACCGGTCTTCTAGTTGCTTACTAACAAGCATTTATGCTTTTTAAGCAGTCACGCAAAATAACCACCACTACCTACCTGTCCTTAATCATTGCCCCTTATATTTGTTTTTGCAGGATGGATAAGGACCTGCTTCTCTTTCCATGGTATGAGCTGTATTTTCCTAGTCCTTCTGTGTTCATTATTTGCTGGATTCAGCAATGCAATGTCATATATTGGTGAGTTCGTACTTGTTTTGTAGTTTCTGTTGATTTATTTGCTATTTTAATAGTGCAACCAATTACAAATAGTTTTACTGTGTACCAGTTCAAATGTACTGAAAGTCATATAATATCCCTTTGCAGTACAACATTTACCAATATGCCAAGTAATATTTGTTTTTAAAGTTGAAAACAATGTTCAGTCTAGAAGTAATTTTAAATTAAAGCTCCTCACAATTTTTTTCTGACATCCTTTTCTAACCTGCACAACAAATGTGCACATATTGCATACGTCAAATATTATGACTTACAGTGGAAAAGTAACAAAGGCAAACTGTTGCTGTCTTTATATATATATATATATATATATATATATATATATAAACAAGCGTTTTAGCATAGATCTGTCAAGGAATCATATGAGTGTTGCAGAATCTGCTTCCCATTTATTTTATAAGAATGCTATTTAAACATGTTACTTATTTAAGTTTGTGAATTTCCTTCTCGTATCTCTTCCTTTCCAGCGGTTCCCTACATCCATAGGAACCGGGTGTCAATCATCCTGTCAGTCACACGGCCGCCACGCCTCCTTCATGCAGCAGGCCACGCCCTCCTGGGCGGGGTCACAGCCTGGTCCTGTTGTAAGCTGATTGGTGGCAGCTACCAAGAGCTGTCGACACGGTGTAACGGGGAGGAGAGTGGGCTGTGTCTCAATGAACGCCACCTCTTTCTTGTCTTGTTTGGGGCTTTCTTGGTAGGTCTGTCATGCTTGTTTGTTGCCTGTTTTGAAAAGTGAACTGGTATTAGTATCAAGATGAACCCCCACCATTGAGATGTGCCAGAATGTGCACATGATGCTTCCTAATGGACATAAGAAATATATGTGTTATTCTATGGATGGCATTAGAGAAGTTTTACTGTAAAATTAAAAAAAATAAAAAGAATACCAGTGGAAGGGGATTTCTTTTTTGTTTTTTTATTGTTGGGAGGGATGGGGTAGTTAAATGTAGGAGTAATGGAGCATGCACCAAATGGTCCTTTGAGTCCTTTGTGGTCTTCGTATAACAGAAAAAAGAATTAGAAACATATAGGGGCCCCTCTTATAAACAGTCGCGATTAATCAGTAATTATTTGCGATTAATATCAATGGCAACTTTGTACATAAGAAATAGGACACTGCAAACTTGCGATTGATTTAAGGACTTGTGATTTATTTGGATCAATTGCTGCTCTTAGAAGTGCACTGTGAGGCTCTGTGTTTACCTCATTTCCGTCTGGCCACAGCACTTCACTGCCTATGTCTGAATGGGTCTGTACCCTTCAAATGAACATTTATATTTACCACTGAGCTGTCAATTCACAAATGTAAATGTAAAAATTATTTGTTTTTGTATTTTTTCCTTTTTTTCTTCTATACACCACAGGGAGCTGTATACAGTGTTGCTTACTTTCTTCACAGACAAAATCTCCTGACTTTCAACATTATACAGGTAACTAACATGAAGAGATAGAGAGAGAGAGAGAGAAGAAGAAGAAGAAGAGGAAAGAAGAGCGAGAATGGGAGATGGATAGCGATACAAATTTATTACTTTCCTTTTTTTTTTTGGGTAATCAGCATCGCGATTTGAATGAAATGTTTCACATTGGTATTTTTTTTGGAAACTTAAAATGCCACCTAGTTACACTAATGGGGCGTTGCAAGAAAGTTGCAATCAATTGCAAATCCCCGAAATCAAGCGTAAGTCTTGCGATTAATTGCAGTTTTGCGATTGATCGCAACTCAACTTTCTTGCAACGCCCCATAAGTAAGAGAGAGAAAGAGAGGGGGGAAATAAAAGCTAGATCTAGCTAACTTAAGTTAATTGTTAAAACTTTAATCCTAACAAAATCCTAGGAAATTTAGGACACTAGTGGGGCGTTGCAAGAAAGTTGAGTCGATTGAAAATATCAGTTGCAAATTTTGTAACTTGCAATCAATCGCAACTTTCTTGCAACGCCCCATAAGATGCATAAATCATCTGGTTTTAATCATAACACAGATATGAGACTGTCATTCTGTGGATGTATATTGCTCTATTTTGTAACGCATGACAGCTGTAAAAAGAACACCTGTTTTACCAGGGTTCAATCTGACCTTTTGGGATTGTCATAGAACATCAACTTTAACATTCAATAGCAGTTCTTGAGTTCTATGGATACAAATTTGAATGTGTCTTTTTATGTATTGAGAAAATGGACCAATGCCTAGTAGACACTCACCATACTTATGTCTGCCTTGAAGAGGTTTACACGTACATGTAATACTAAATACTTAGAAATACTGTGGGAACGCATTATTCAGTTGTGTAGCTTAAGCAGCATAAGTTGCTTCTTTTATACATATAATCCAATCTATCTGCTTTACTTTCTTTCCAATTGAAGATGTTAATGCGTGGGTATATAAGTCGTTCGTGAAGTAGGCAACTCAGCGATTACTACATAACACTGAACCACCGAGTTTAACACTCCCGTGGGTAAGTCCGTGTGCTGCCCTCTATATACCCACACATGAGCAACTTTAACATTTTGAGAATTTCCATCATTTTTATTTCACATTACACCTGTCTTTTCCTGTGTCCCTTGCTGTGTCTATTACTCTTTGCAGCAGGTGAAGTTCTTCCAAGTAAAGTCTAGTGTTCCGCAGTCGGTCTTGAAGAACTCTGTTTGGGCCCTCCGTCTGTGTGCATACTACTTTGCCTTCTATTACTTATGCGGTAAGTGACAGTTTCTTACTATGATATTGTGAAGATTCTTGGCTTTTTTTCCCGTTGGTCCAGTGTCTCATTATGGCTTAGTGTTAGTGACTCTAAAGCTAATCTTGAGCTCAGGTATGGGAATTGTATTGTTTATCCTGCAGTAGATTGATTATTTGAACTTGTTTACTAGGTGCAAGCCAAATTTCTGTACAAACTAAACTAAACTGAAACTGAAGCCTAACTTGGTACTTGGTACTTGGTTGGGTAATCACTCAAGAAGCTAGACTGGGGTGGTAGGTGAGGCAAGTTAAACTACAAGGAGTGTCATGAAGTGCTTGAATGGTTTGTTTGATTTACAGTAAAATATGCTGAATGACTTTAATTTTGTTCTCTGTCTCCAGGTTGTTTGTTCAAATCCTGGCTCCTGACCAATCTGCAGCTCCAGGAGCTTCCGATCCCTGTGGACTCCATCAGAGGTCTCCTGGATGTCAGGCTGCTATGGCAGGCATGGCTTGTGGGAACCATCATCACCCACCTATGGACTTTCTCTCTTTATTTGTTCAAGGTGTTCAATACAGAGGTGAGCAGTTAAGCTTCTGGAGGCCACACAGCATTTCTATGGATTTCAAGTGATATGGAATCGAGTATGAGCTCTCAGGCTAGTAATGCCCATAATGATCATAGAAAAAAATTGCGGTATTTTACCAAGAACATGGTTTAAATGAATTGTTCAAATGGTTGTAAATACTAATGTTACAGAAATACACAAAGTATGAATTACTATCAAACTCAGGACATGTATGTATCTTGCAGAGCCAATGAACTCATTAGATTTTAGGGTCATGAGGTCTAAGATCAAAAGGTCATATATGTATTATAAAAAAATAGCTCGTAACCACGATATTCTGTGAACCTGTTAATGGATTATAATCAAACTTAAATTTTAAAAAAATGCTTCTGTTTTGGTCTGTATAATCGCTCTATGGCGGAGGCATCATTTTTCGAATTGCGCACAGTCGAAAATCCATCTAGTTTGTCTTGTTTTTGTGAATTGAGTATTAGTGTCGGATTTAATTGACAACTTGCAAGGGATAGTATGGGGTCGGACTTTGTGAGTTCAGCTCCAGAATACCATCAAATTTTGGAGCTTGATTTTGATATTGATACTTATTGATCCAACAGGTGTACGAGTTCCCGATAGAGACCGCTTTCAGCACCAGTGAGGAGTGCACCCTGTATCGGGCTTTGGGTCAGCAGAACAGTCCTCTGGTCAAGTACCTGGCTTATCAAGACCTAAGCATCCTAGCTGAACACTCACCAGCCAGGAGAAAACAGATCTTCACTCTGAGTCAGCCAGGTAGGTCAAGTAATAGATAATAATAAATCTGGACTTATATAGTGCTTAAAGGTATAGACCAGTTTTGGAAATGCCCCCCTCTCAAAAAATGAAATAAAGGCTCTTATTACCAATCATGTGAAGAATATGTTTTGACTAATAAATTTTGCCGGGAAACTGCCTACTGATTGATATATTTGGTAAATTATCATATCGATCCGGCCTGGATATATATCGCGAATGCCATCTAAACCTCTGAAGGCAATATTTAAACAATATTGAATGGATATTTTATACCCAAAACCCTTGAACGGCAACTTTACCACTACCGATCTATATCTTTAATATGCAATACCGTTTCTAAGCCTTTTATAGATACTATTATAACCCCTGTTATTGGATTTATTCATGCACAGTGCGTACCATCTCCATTCCCTGGGAAGTATTCCTACCATATGGTCAACATGATGGCATATGGTTTTCGTCATCCGACCAGGTCCCCATTTCTCTCCTTGGTATGGAGTGGCAAATGTAGATTACTGGCTTGACAAAAGATATTGTTGTCATGTCAGGGATGAAACTCACCAACTTCGGTTTTGTGCTCAAACCACTCGACTACAGCACCTCTTAGGGCATCAGCTCACTCTGTGCCTTGTAGAGGGGGTTAGCAGGGGAATTCCCAATAGTCTCTTGCGCATACAAATTTAAAGGCACAATGAAATACACGTTTCAAATTAGAAGGACATGATGCGCATTACACTGTTTGGCTGCGCTTATGTACTGTGATGTCATTTAAAGACAATGGTGTCCCCCATGACTGTGGGAGTCTTGGAATTTTTATCATGTTTTTTTTTTTTACTTGTCTCCCTACTTTACATTCAAATTGTAGACCTGTCTTATAAAACAAATCATGTTTTAAAGATTGTACATTAGTGAAATGCCCTTCCAAACATAAATTAATTATATATTGAACTATTCCATTTTCCCCCTCCCACACTCTTATTTCAGGTGGTCACCCACACAACTGGACAAGGATTAGCTCAGAGTGCCTGGCACTGATCGCCTCGCTGACCGATCGGTTGATTGTCCACCAAGAGTGGGCAGCAAACGGGATCAACAGGGAGAAGAGGATGCAGATAGAGGAAGAAAAGAAGAAAAAGAAGAATCAGAGTGGGAAAGACACACAGAGAGGTAGAAATGATGTTATGAACATTGTACTAAATTGTCTTTTTTGTGGCATGCCAGCTCTAGTATTAAAAAACATGGCTTATGTCAGATATTCATAGTGTTGCAGAATTGAATATTAAATAAGAATAGATATATTGCTGATGAGTTCATCAGACTAAGAAGTGGTGGAGATAATTCTTTGTGTGAACGTTTTATTACTGAATAGTATTATATACCCAATAATAAACATACTTGAGTTTAAGATAAATTCTGTAGTTTTCATACAAATTATAAAAAAGACAGCTTCAGAAAACTAATAATCAAGAGGAAAAAGGTGTTTTTTCCACATATAAAAAGCGAGGATCACACCTATCCAAATAATTGCATTTTTTAACATAACCGTAATGCCCCTGCCCTGTAAGGAATCACTTTAGTGGTCTAAATGGCACCATTGTTAGTCCTGCTAAATACTTCCACTTAGATAAAAGCATTGGTGCACATTATCTAAAAGAGTTACACTATGAGATCGTAATTTTGATCCAACTTACTCTCGAAATTCGTCACAGTAAAAATTCGTCCTTTTAAAAGAAATGCTTGATGATGTTGTGATTATAATTATTGCAACAACACCTGGGGGTGTTTCACAAAGATCCTAAGATGAACTTATATCTAAGTTGGACTTTAAACTATAGAGAGCCATTTGTAGCCTTATAATGAAATATATTCAAAAGCAAAAATTGAAGTATTTTAGACTTTTCATACATTCCTCATCAAGAACATGAAATCTCCCATGATAATAGAAAATATGAAAGTTTTGAATCAACATTTTATGCCTTTTAAATTAAATTTTACAAAATCTTTTCGAAGATGCTAACAGCTTTCCATAATTGTTGAGTCCAATTTAGAGATAAGTTCAAATTAGGATCTTTGTGAAACACCCCCCAGGAGAGAAATTCCAAAAATATAACATAATCATCCATTGCTGAAAGACTTTCCCATGATTCCTCCATGCAGCATCTAGCAGTACCTCCTTCTACTCGACAGCAACCTCCCCTGGGCCTCACCAGCGTATTGCCACCCTGTCCGCCACCCCCTACGGTACCCCTGCTGACTACCCCGCCCCTGGGTATGGCACCCCCAGGACGCCAGCCCGTCATAACGCCAGCTATAGCGCCGTCACACCTGGCCGTGGTGACAGCGTGTGGGTTGATTCCCCGGGCAGTCAGAGCTATGTCCCTTCAACCAGGAGACCTATCCATGAGCAATATAGTGGTCAGTTTATTTATTTATTTATATATTCCGTTTTATTTAAAGGCTGGCTGTACTAGTTTGGCTAGGAGGGATTAGCCCTCCCTTTATGGTCACTGACAGGTGGTTATCTCATCAAATCAGCTCTCAATTAACATAAGAAAAAGGGGATCATGGGGGACCAACGGGTACCGCTTACGCAGTGTTTACTATATAAAGTAGTGTAGTCCGGCTTTAAGAAGATGCGTCGTAAATAAGCGAGACAAGTGATAGCAGTTTGTACTTGATGTGTTTATACTAGGAAGATGTATTCTAATAAATAAGGAGTATTCTAATCGTAGTACTAGATGAACTACTTGTAGTTTGAATTGATCAGCATTGTAAATAGATACGGGCATAGAGTGATTTCCTGTAATAGAAATAATCCAGAGTTTAAAAAAAATATATGTATATTTTGTTTGTTGTAATTATTGATTTACGCCTTTGTTGAACTTTTGGAGGGATTGATAAAAGAAATTAGATTTCCTACTTACATACATGCACAAAAATGGTGTGACATGAGCATGATCAAACTCCTCTTTGGCTATGAAAGTGAGTAAGCTTTGAATGAAAGAGGCACTCCAAACATGGCCCTTTTTATGTTTGGCACACTAAATTTTATTTTCTCATTTAAAACAATGATGTCTTTATTAAAAAGCATGCACTTAAATTTTTTTTTTCTTTTTTTATCATGATAATGCCCAGGTATGTCCCCTCAACGGCCACCTTATCTATCATTCAGAAGACCCTTCGTCTTCCTGCAGCCCCGGATCGCAGTCATCAGACAGCTGCCTCTCTACCGATATTTTGTGGACCCGTTTCCCGAGGCTGATAATCGCTTGCTGTTCACCGACACACAGCTCCACATATGGGCTTTAGAAGGTAAGAACTAGTCTAGAACAGAACAGAACAGGTTCAACATGGCAGATTTGTACACAAAAATGACAGGTTTGAAAATTCATTGATATGTGGCTTTTGTCGGTTGTGATTTATAGATATTTTTAATATTATTGTTCCTTAATAAAAGCAAATACAAAATTCGGGCTTGAATAAGTTGGACCAATGAACCATGTGTTTTTAAATTATGCAATAAAGCTCTGAAGCCATAACTATAAAGCGAAGGGTAAAATCTGAAGTGTCTCTTTTGGCAACACTTTGTGAGTTTCTTTCAAAAAAAACTCTTTGACAGTGTGGATCATTGCTCAGATGATTACCGGCAGATGGAAGAGGGTATTTGAACCAAAGGTTTTCTTGTATTGGGGATAAATGTCTAGTGGTGAATGTTCAAGGAAATTGTATGTTTCGATGAGGTGGAAAATTTAAATTTTGTTGATTCTATATTCCATACTCCATTCAGCATGGAGATAATGAAATTCATATGCAATTTCTAATCACAAGCTGGAAGAAACAATTTTTTTAAATATTATTTTTTGCAGATAAATGATATGAAAATTGTATCTAGATTTTTTTTTAATAGCAAAGAAACAATGCAAAATGGCCTACGAAATTATTATTACTTTATTTTATGAGTGCTACTTGTGCTACTTTTCAAATAATGATCATGCTGTTCTCCAATGAATCCCTTACAGCCTTGGCTTCGCTGGTTGCAGCCTCCTACACTGAGGACTCTTATGGAGTAGTGCAGAAAAGTTTGCCAGACATACTCACTGAAATGCTTGCCTTATATAATGTGAGTACCTACTTTTCATTCTTAAGCACAGCTGCCAGTTTCAGTGCAGTAATTTTTCTTAGTGGTTGAAAATTTCTTTTTACACAATCAATTGTTTGAGAGTACTCACTAAAGGTACAAACATTTTCGAATTGATTGTGTAAAAAGAAGTTTTTAACCAATAAACTACCAATAAGATGACAATTTTTCAGAATTGTCCTTTGTGTTTTGGTATGTGTCTTTGATGCAGAATGCCGATCTAGAAGAGAAAAAGGTGTATCTCTATACAGTTTTTGTCTACCGGTATGTCTATTGCAGGAATGTGGAAGGGGCACAGAAAGAATTAGAGACAATCTGCCCTGTTTATCCAGAACTAAATCGATATTATTGCATATTACTACTAACATTCTTATCTTATCTAAGCTTCACATGGCAAGGGGATCATGGGAACTGCATTCTGTTTTCATGTAATTTCTTGAGATTTCCCTTTTCTGTTTTAAAGAAAATACAGTGCAACCTGATTTAGTGACCACCTGTCTATAAACACCATATGGAACATGTATCATTGAATCACTCATTGAATCATGTACTAAAGGAACCTGTACATAAAGCCCACCTGATCAAGTTTTTTGTGTCTCCTTTGAGTGGTCTTTATATACAGGTTTCATGCCTTCCATCCATCACAACTTTGTAATTGACCCTTTAGAAATACATTTTTTATTTGTCTTCCTCTTTCATGCAGGCTCTAGAAAAGCTTCTGAAGCTTCCAACACTCCTGACCGCTCGTGACCCCCGTGAACTCAAGGTCACCAGGATAGGCCCCGCTCACCCGGATGATCAGCTACGTAATGATCTTAGAACGACCGTCAAGACGTCACTTCACAGAATCAGCTCCACCTTCAGCAAACATCTCAAGTGAGTATAAGACCCCTCATTTACGATAAAGTTTACGTCTTTGACCTTAAAATCATGACAAAATTGATTCTTAGAGCAATGAAGACATTTTCATCTTCAGTCAAATGGAGACCTTCTTGATAGAGTGTTTGAAGACAATTTCTAGAAGATAGCTGGGAAAATTTGCTGGTCGTCCGACTTAGAGCCTCGAAGATGATCTTGTATTTGCAGATGCTCTGATGGTGTTATCCCCACACCTGCCACACCTTCGCTTTTTTGTACATATTTACAGCGTATTGCCAGTTACACTGCCGCTGCATGTGTGAACGCCTGTTAAGGGTACAGATTTCTTATATTTCAAAGGCATACCGTGCTATTAAATTCCTAATTCTTATTTTCAAATCTTGACACTCCTGAAAGTGATCTGGGAACATTTTGTGTATACCAAACCACATTTGACTTCGTTTTTGGATCATTATCAACAACCTCAAACTATCATTTGTCATACAATAAATCACTTCTTGTGACCTGTCCACTTAATGCCAGATGTCGGTCACAATAACTGCTTTTAAAACAGTCTTTAAAAATCAAGTCACTTAGTAATGTGCCTATTGTCCAATGCTTTTCCATTTTCACTACAAGAAATTCGACTTCCTAAATCCATTTAAGAGAAAACGTGTAGTTACACGTATTAATTCTTTATCAGAAGTTTAAAATATTTAGGTTTTATCCCCAACAACTTTGTTTTTTCTTCTCTTCTACCTTGATATTCATTCTTATGCTTATTTATGCTGTGATTGCCAATTCTCTGGAACATCAACTTTTCAAGCCTCTGTAGGCTTTTGAGGATGTTCCTTTATGTTCTTCATGGTGTGTATTAATTCAGAAGATGTCTCCATGTATTCTACCTTCTAAAAACTGCCTTCAATTTTAAAGTTTGTATGATTTTTGAATTGGAGAATGACTAAAGAGTGTTCGATTAAATACATGTCTGGGCATCATAACGTCTACTCAAAATTCGCATTAGTTAAAAAAGTTCATGCTCTATGCCAAAGGGGTGTGTAAAATCGACATACCCTTAGTCAAAGTACTCTAAAAATAAATAGTGCGAATACGGATTTCTTTTCTGATGAAGACAATGTTATTCATAATTCAAATTGATTATATTTTCCTCTCATTTCACCTCTCATTTTGCAGGAGTGTTCCACTGGCACTAGAGTACAAAAAGCAGCTGGATGAATTGATGGATTACAAAATATGAAAAGAGAGAGGTCTTACATATGATGATCTCAAGATAACAACAAACAATTTATACGTTCTTTCAGAGTTGTACATTGACATACGGTCATAATTGAGCATGACGATGACTGCTGATGAGTTTTTCATTTTGCTTGTCCGTGCTGATTTTTTGATTTTGCTTGTCTGTGCTGATGACTTGTTTTACCTTCAAGACTGATGGGACCATTATACCAAAGAAAATATTGAACTTAGGTTTCTTTGTGGTTGTGTTGAGCGACAAAAATAGAGAAGCAGTGCGGATTCAGCTTCTTTATTTCTTCTGTTAATGATTTCCTAAAGCTAAGCAGTTGCTGGGATAACAACATTTCTTTTAGTTACTTTGCCCCCCCCCCCTTTGTTAATCAGTGTCGCATAAAGAAAGCTGGAACATGATGTAACCTGTTCAATGTTTCACAAAGAAGGTGTCACACACTTGATGAGCCTGTCCCTGTGGTGCTCTTTGAATGAGTCTAATGGGAAGTCTAATAGTGTCTGTATCAAAATGTGTTTGTTTTTTCCTCCGTTTTGGTTATGGGTGGTTTCTCTCTTTCTGAAGCCATAATACATGTTCTGAAACATGCTAAGTTCAGCACAGCTGTATCTGTAATAGTAAACCTATGTATGTTGCTACTAACTAATATGTGACAGAATTTAACTTTGACAAAATCATTAGTGGACAAATAACTTGATTTCTAACATTCTAAAAGAAATTTGGAGTAAAGAGGAATATTTCAACTGCTTGAATGCCAGAGTGTGAATAATAAAATATTATAGCATTACCCTGGGATTATTATCTTGGTGTAAGATAAAATATTTTGTATTTTGTCATGCTTGATGAAAATGTATTTTGCTGCCAGTGGTCAATTCCAATATTTGTGTAGGAAAAAGTGTGTGTGTTAAGGCCAAATAACAAAAAAAAAGAGTTTCTTGTCCAGAGGCAGGGCATTACTCTTTACTATTTTTATTTTTTTGCTATTTTTTCCCAAGATAGCCACCATGCTAAATATGGCTGGCCAAGGTATATTTATTCACAGATATTGTGCTATTTGAGTAAACTGATGCAATGTATGACAAAACAAATGATTAGTATCATTTTAGTTCACTTGCTAAGCGAGTGTCAAAATTCAGAAACAGTGGAAAATGTATGTGTCATGTCTTCAGCTTGAATTAGATATATAAGCTATTTATACAAAATGTACATCACAGCCTTTTTCTGAATAGTAGATAGTAAAAAAAAAATCAACAGCCAATGATTTTTGCAATATTTGAGGTGTTGTGTTTGCATCTTAGATTCTGTATTTCCTAAGAAATTTTTCCACTATGGAAGTTTCTCTCTTTTTTAATAAAATCAAGTTTAGAAATTGGTATTAACATACGTACTTGTTGTAATGCTTTGATATGTTAAACAAGGAAAAATTTGTTGAATTGTAGACTGATGATATTATATTCAATATAATATCAATTTGATATCAATTTGATACTTTCAGCATTTTCTGAAGTTTTGAAGAATGTGAAGTCTCTTCAACAGGTTTGTCATTTGTCTTCATATTTTCTGTTATATTTGGTTAGATTTCAGAAGAGGAAGGTGGGGGGGGGGGGGAATGTCCGGACATCATATATTTCGACTCCCCAACATTTCCACTCTCGTTATGTTTGTACAATATTCACTTGTCATGGCAATGTGTTTTAAGAGTTAGCCGCTTTGTCAACTATAAGTATAAATAACACTTGTGTAGAAGCTTTAAGAAAGTAGAGTCCTGAAAATATAGGGGTGTAAGAAAAGAAAAATCAAAATGGATATACCCTAACCAGAAATATTTTGTGTGTGAAACGTCTACGATTTTGTACATGGTTCAGATTGGCAATAATTACATGTCATGAAGTAATTGTATCACAACTGATTACACGAGTATTTGCAATTTATGAAGTGTCTTGCTGTCGAAGTCATATTTGCTTACAAATCACAAAAGTTTCCTGTTCCAAGTGTTTATGGCTTTTTTGTATTGTGTTGGATATTTCATTCCATACTTGCATGATGAAAAAATTGCCTCATTCTCTTATTGGTATTGATATGAAGAAAGATAAGCCCTGTAAATTAAAGAAAATAAATAATTGTTAAATCTGGTAGCAGGATTTATTTATGTATAATGTTTGTGATTATATGTACTTTCTGAGGCTAATAATAAAGTTGTTAGTAAAATGAAATGATGCATTTGTTGCAATCTATTTGTTTCATCAAGGGAACCTGGTAAATAAAGTGCTTCAAAATACAGAGTATCATAATAGTTTCTGTAGCAAGATAAACAAGACACAAAAACCAACTGAAAACTTTCTAAAGCCTTCTTATTCTTCTTCTTCTTCCTCTTCTTTGTTGCCCCATTCCTCTTCCTCCTATTATCATAACTTCTTATTATTATTGATCATCATCATCATCATCATGGTAGTTTTTTATTTTTCTATCATTAGTAGTAAGAGTAGTAGTGGTGATGGTAGTAGGAGTAGCAGTAGTAGTAGTAGTATTTTGAGTAACATGAATATGTGATACCGAGGTTAGACTTTAATGCCTAAACCAATAGACGGCACAAATCTATGTTTAACATGTAAACGTGAAGTTTCCTTCATTGCTAGATTCCACATCATTCCTACCCAATTCTCTCTTTCTTTCTATGTCTCCTTGCCCCCTCCCCTTCTCTGTCTGTCTGTCACTCTCTCTGTATCACACACTCTCTCTCTCTCTCTCTTTTTCTCTCTCTCTCTCTCTCTTCTGTCTCTGTCTCTGTCTTTTGTTTTTCTCGTGTACTTGCTCTTATACCAGTACTTCATTTCAGTTAATTGTCGCCCCCTCTTCAGAATCAAGTTGGCCTTCAGCGAACACCAATCTTTTCATTCTCCTTTTCTCTTTCTACTCCACCAATTATCGATCGCGGGAGGCCTATTGTATAACTGTACACCTTCCTACGGGAAGATATACTTATCCCATTACGGACCAACATTTCATAACCTTGTTCGCGCTCACTTGTGGAAGTACAACAAAGAACTATTGACAGGGGAGATGTGCTCGCAAATAACGGTTGTATGCAAATAAGAGCGGAGGGGGTAAAGTCAAACTCGGATTAACACAAGTATGTGTATAGGTCTACGTGGGACAATAAATTAAGAGAGGGAAGGTACCAGGGGTTTACTTAAAATAGTTCCGTCGATTAAATAAGAGGCCTTCATAATAAACCCAGCCCATCGATCGCGGAATAGCCGTTGGAGGCGGGTAAGGACAGCCTATTAGGGGTTCGGTAAACAACGGGGAGGGGTTCAGATCAGTGACAGTGGGTTATGATTATATGAAGTTCCTTTCAACTTGATCATTACCGACTAACTGACCTTGAAAAACAATATCTCATTTACTTAAATCACTCCTAATCACCGGAGATTGCTCTTTTGAATTGTCCTGTTGTATCATTCATCCATCAACATATTTTGTAGAATTGTAAAGTGCGGTCCATTTGAGACTCGATTGAAGACGTATATAAGTCACATTAATATCTAAAGCTAATAATAATATGTTAATTTATAAAGCGATCTCTCACAAAATGTTTCACAGCTCTGTACATGGTATGAAGGTGGAACTATTTTCGTCTTTTGGGATGGATTAATTAATTTCCAACAGCCGTTGTAGTTTGAAGTCGTCTGACTGTAAACAAAGTACAACAAGTAAGCGTTACCATAATATGTAACAGGAACGGTTTTGAAGAATATTTATCAGAAAGAATAATTTGAATTAGTGTCCCCTTCGAAAATACAACTCTGAGAAATACTATTACTATCCAAAGGCGTACGACGTGGGTCTCTCTCTCTCTCTCTCTCTCTCTCTCTCTCTACTATCTTCCCATTCCCCCTCTCCACTCCCTCCACCGTGTTCCCTATCACTCTCTCCAGACATCCCCATCTCTACCACGCCCCTTAATTCGCCCTCTTCATTTTTCTCCCATTTCTTCTCTCCCGCTTCCTCGATCTTTTCCTCTGGAATAGAAAAGTCTTATTTCTGTCAGGAGTAGCGACAATTTATGAGGGAGTTTACTTTTATTTATTTTTGTTCACGATTTGGAAATAGCATACAGTTAACAATTACATTATTCATTCCCCTTGTACATTTGATGTTTATTTTGTTTTTTGTTTTTTATAACTATAAGAATCTTATAAGAATGAAGATGGACTGGTTGAATTAGGACTTTTGTTCAATACTTTTAAATGTAAGCTTGCATATGTCACATTCTAAAGAAACATCAATCGGGACATAAAGCATACTGACTTGGTAAGGGTATGAATATTTTAGTTGTTAACCGTAGCTCGTTATAAAGTGTAAATCAAATCAAAAGGGAGCGGTAATATAAGCAGAGGTGCCATATGTGGTCTTATCAAATGTAATACAAAGTTTTGGTATGGGGTCATGAATTTGGTTCAAATGGACATATTGGAAGCATATGTAATTTAAAAATATTCAATGATCGTTGTCGCGGTTGAAATAGAGTCTAAAGTGATGAAGTTGTAAACAATAAACTATTTATGGTGTATAGCTCCCTCAAAAGACTGATATTACTTTAGCTTTAAAACAATGTTTCTTGAGTACAATCTGAATACCGATTTGCTATTCCCGTTTGGAAATTATATATCAGAACTGCATATTCTGAGATGTTCATGGTCGCAGCTACCATGGCCTTAGGCGCTATTTGAAATACTTGGGAGCACTGGCAAATTTGATAATTCAATTTCTCGAAAGCAGAAGTGTTTTAGGGGCTAGATTATATATTGCTTATAATAAATCCACATGGGCATCCAAATATATAACAAATTTAAAGAACTATCCATCCAATTTCCAAAATTCCCAAAACTTTGCATTACCTTTAACCCACGGTACGCTCGTCAGTATTAAATTGCTCTTTCTTACGGCCCTGTATTCAGGTAGCACCCCGGCGCATTTCTAGGCACAATACACCTGGGTCGAGAGAGACAAGGATGCAAGCACCAAGCAAGGATCGATCCCATTTAAAGCCCCACTGTACTACTTATAGCTACTCGCGCCTTCTATATAGCAAACAATGCCTAATCGGTGCCTGTTGGTCCCCCATGGTCTCCATTTGTTATGTTAATTGAGAGCTTATTTGATGAGATAACCACCTGTCAGTGATCTTGCAGGGAGGTCTAATCCCGGCCCCTACTCCTGGGTCGGAATGACCGTATTCGTGTTACCAAAATGTCCGGTAAAGGGGTACTTTTCGTGCGACAAAGTCTCGAGAATTGTAGAATTGTAAAAAAAGGGGTGTATTTGACTGTCCACCCGGAGATTTCTTTAAAAAGGGGGTGTTTTTTCTTTTTTTCTCTCATCTCTTTGGACATCTGAGAAATTATTCCAAATTAAGAGGGGTACATTGAGCATTTTTCCAGATTTAGGGGGGTCTCCAAGGCAGGAAAAGCCTGCGAAAAGCTCGCGAAAGGGGGGTTCGGAAATGTTGGTAGTCCTCAGATAGGGGGTGCTTTCAAAAAGAGGGTACAAGCATATGCGTACCCTAAATAACACTGAGTGGGGGAGGGGGAGGGGGGCGGGGTCTAATCCCCCTGGCTAAACTAGTGCAGATGGGCTTTAATAGACCACGGCCTCTCATATGAAAGTCAAGAATCTTCGCTGATATACCACTGCGGTGTGCCTTATTATCCGTTGTCAGATTTTGAAATCCTGTTTGCTGCCCGCTCGAAATTTCTCATTGCTCTTTTAAAAAAAAACAATATTGTGTATCAGAAAGAGAGCTCTCCCAATTTCGCACGTTGATAATAACTAAAATATTATGCACGACCGTAAAGACTTGAACAAAAGAATCAAACTAAGTGCCTTTGCATCAACTGTTGAAATTATCGAACCATACGTTATACGAATTGATTTCTATGGACAAAACAAACTATAAAACAACTTGCCACTGTGCAGATTAACAAAAAAAGCATTTCTGACTCTGTTGAATATGTTTTATTGCGGCTTTCAAGTTTATCGTACTGTGACGTCATAATAGCCCGAATTCGTTCTGCAATTGTGTTTTGCTCTTACAAGCCGCATTGTGACGTCATAATAAACCCCACTTTTGGCCAATGTTTTGGTTTGAAAAGCGATGACGACATAATACGCTCGCGCAATGGTGCTGCGCGCCGCCGCTGCCGCGCTCGCGTTGACAGGCAAACGAACTTTTCTGGATCTGCCTGCCCTCCCACCCCCTCTTTATGACGTCACAATGGTAAATGCAGCGTATCAAGAAGAAATATTCGCTAGACAAGACTGGCCAATGCTCCTATGATGTCACAATACGTTGTGCTTATCTACTTTATGCATTATATTGCCATATTTGCATGAGCGCAGTGTCCTCTTTGACCACGATATAATTTAGCCTTATCTTCAAAATGTAATGAGGGTAAAATTATGTTCATGTCTCACCAGAAATTATCCTCTGTTATTAATTGCGCTCTATCGGAGATTCAGCAGAATAATATACGGAGAGTGAGATATACACAAAGACTCTCATATCAGTGGCGTAGATATGAGGGTTGGGGGGGGGGGGGGGTGCGGACACTTTTTCTTCCTCGGTTTTGTAAATTAACCTAAATCAATCTGTTTATCAATAAATGTATTTGTTCGAACGTATTTTTAGTTTAGTTCTGGAACTGTTTTCTGCACATTCATGGCAATCATATTAGGACAAAAATAGAATTGAGATTACAAAAAAGCAAGGGGAAAAAAAGCAAACACACTAACAAAAGAATGATTTGTTACAATGGTGATCGAATCATTGCTTCATTTCAAATAGTATTTAAAATGCAAAATAGTTATTAATGTCAGACTATAACGATAAAATATTTATGAATTTCATTTTCAAAATAATAAATTCAAGTAATGTTTGTTTGTTTGTTTGTTTGTTTTATTTCCACTTTTTCATATCAATACAAAGAAACATACAAATGAATATAATGAATAACATGTAAGTTTGACAAAGTTTGTTTCAAGTTTCATACTGTTACAAAAGGAAAAAGCAGGAGACCACATGTCGTAAGCGTAAATGCTTGAACATGACCGTGGCCTCTGCCGAGTTAACAAAATAAAAGAACAACCCATGCAACTGCATTGTATTCAATGTTAAATAAGATATAAGTGAAGTGATTAAAAGTGAGCATGGCTGATTTAATTTTGAGTGAAAATAACAAAACAAATTTAGTGAAATATTTCGTGTTGAGAAGTGCATTTGTGCAAGGTGCAAAAAATTTAGCTTGGTGGAACAAAAAGAGACTAATACCGTGATATTTAATTGTGTGTTGGTTTCAGTTACGGGTGATAATATTAAAATGTATGCAGGGTCCATTTCTGTTGACAAAGACAGAACAATTCAAGACATAACAAATTAGATAATTTTTAAATTTCTATGTTATAAGATCTAGTAAACTATACTGAGTTAACAAATATGCTTTCATATAAGCTTTAAAAGAATAAAGGGAGGTCCTAGTTTTAATATGGTTCGGTAAGTTATTCCAAATATCTGGTCCATGGTGTCTAATTGATCGTAGGGCTAAACTAAGTTTGGGATTATTAAGATGGTAATCATGAGCATGTCGAGTTAAATATGAGTGTACGTTTACATTTAATAAATAAAAGTTTAAGAAAGATGCTGGAAGAGTTTTGGAAGTGTACTTATACATAAAAATGGCAGTTTGGAGCGTATGTATATCATAAACCTTTAATGTAATTTGTATCCGGGCTATTTCCTGATTAATGTCTTTATTTTAAATCAACTTTCGGAAAATTTAATCATCTGGCACTAGGCATGTACTTAGAGATATCATTGTTTGAAGCTATTAAAAGAAAAAGAAGAAGAAAAAAAAAATCATCACCACCGATTGGCTTTAGAGGACTGTTTTAAGAAATTCAAAGATGATTTTATCCGCTTTCAAAGATTCACATAAATTATTCACTTTTTCTGTAATATAGTTTTCCTGAATTTCGACTTTCTTTCAAGCAACGAACTGGAATTCGGATAAACCAACGAAGGCCAAAAAAAAATGAAAAAAATGCAGGTATCTAGAAAGCAAACACCGATGTTTTCCTTTCTATACGATTTAGGTGTATTACTGCACGAGGGGGGGGGGGGGTGGGGGGGGGGGTGCGGTACTGAATGTGAACGTTTGGTCCTTTCCAAATCATGGCGGACCAACTTCGACCCGTTATTTCATATCCTACCTTTGATAAGCAAATTTTATATCTTCACAGTTTAGTCACCTTTATGTGTCAACATTGATTTGTGCTTGCCAGCAATCCTGAGAAAGCAGTGAACTTCTGGCAAGAGACGTCGGCCTAACTCCACTCTCAACCCCCCCCCCCCACCCCCTCCTGGACCCTCGTGAATCGTGTTTCCCAAACTAACGGCTAAAAATGTAAACATCGTTCAGAAATATTTCTAGCCCCATCCTCATAAATTCCTGGGACAGCAACTGTAAGTTTAAACAAATAAACACTGACAAACAAACAATGAGTCTAACGACTAACGTAACAAACATTACAGAAAAATATTATGCGGGAAGCATTACACTGAGTCACCTGCAACCTTCTACGAGCGGAAAAAGAAATGATAGAGGAATATTCAATCTTATAGGGGTACATCGTAGATACATCAAAATAACGAAAGCCAATTAAGGTATTATTGAGTGGAACAATTGATTGGATGCGTGGCTTAATCCATATTTTTCATGTCGACTTAAGTGGCAATGCTTCATCAAGAATTAATCAACTTCGTGTGATCTTTTCTGAAATAATCACGTTTCTAGCCCTTATAGATAATAAAAAAAGGTTGATGCACAAGGGTTTACTCTAAATTAGACACGAATTCTTTTTGCCGCCTTAAATTTCCCTAGTTTTACCAAAATCAAGTTTAAATTCTCAAAGTAAAAACAGAAGTTTCATAAAATCAACATTCTATTTAGGGCCCCCATTTCTAAAAGTTGGCAATCAGTTTCAAGATCCAAACATTTTTTTCCTATTCATTTATGTCAGTTTGAAACCGATGCCCTAGTATCTTCCAGATTTTTTTCTTCTCCAAATTCGCATAAGATCCAGTTATGTGAAAACGATTATTGAGCGTCTGTTAACTTGTAGCTATGACAACGGGAGAACAAGATGGCTGCATGAAAATGACATCGGGAGGATGGCCGAGTGGCTCGCTTGCGCTCGGCGCTCTCTCGATTTTCCGTTTCCTGTCGACACGTCACTTCTAATCTACGTCCACATGGCAACGCACTGTAGTGCCGCTTAAACTACGTCTTTTCCCTTTGGGGAGTATAAAATATAACTATTTAAACTTAATTGGAATTTCATATTCACAGACGTCTGAAATGGACTAAAGTTTTACAAATTCTGGGTGCAAGCGCGGTTAATGATGCGATTTAATAAATAGCGCGGAACGATACGTCAAATCTTACAGTGGTGAGGTTTAGCAACAGTTGCCTTGAGAATAAACGCCATAGTCACCGTAGTCCTGGCGACTGTTACCCGCCAACGACAAGGTAATTTTTTCCTTTTTATGCTATGCGGCGTACGTTGTGTGTTCCTTATGTGATGTTAAAACCGTTCCTCAGTAGTCGTAGAACCAAATTATTTTCAAATGAATTTACCAATATATTCATTTCCTATATTTTGTAGCAAAGAATCGTTGTTCCAAAATGGCGATTTTGCAATTTTTCGAGTGCGTTCGTGGAGTAGGGTTGTGGGTTGTGTAGGAAACTGAAGTTGGACGTGTGATTGTGGATAATGCATGAATCCAATGCCGACACGGCGTGTTTGAGCATACGCTAACGTTTTGAGTGCCGAGTTAAACTCCTCAAATTCATTTACTTGAACAGCTGCCCGTATTCTATTTAATAAAAAATCATACGTTAGAAGGAAAATATAGCGGCCACTTCATTTTCACGTTTTTATGTTCAATTTTAGGTAATAATACGCCATCACACTCGCTCAAGCGAATCTCTTGAATGTTGTGCCCGGCATTACTTCCGCAGTCGCTATGCATGCTGCTAGTGCTAACTGCTGCACAGTTTACTCTACCACTCGCCAGTGTCCAAAGTTCACGCACATGATCATGATGTAATTTCATTTATAGAATCATAGTCTAGTCAATTATTTCCATAACTTCTTCCATAACTGTTATGTGCATTGTATATTACTACTAATGATAGTAATATCATTATTGCTAAATGAAAGGAAATTAGACTCAACATTTTAAATTGAAAGTAATTTTGGAGGTAACGACTAAAAACAACTAAATTTAAATCTAACAAACATGTTTTAAGTTTTAGTTTTATGATGGGGAGCCCTAGACTAGACCGAATTTTCTGTCTCTTTCGTTCGTTAGCCTCTTATTGGGGTAGGGTCGGCTCTCTCTTTAGAGACGGAAACCGTCAATACACATTCCCTTGATAACGCCACGGCCATTTCAGGTCGTATTGTTATGCCCCCAAAATCCCCCAAAATGTCATTTTACCTCGTGTAGAACCCTATATCCAATTGTAAATTAGGCCTAGGCTATACATCGGTTCCACTCTAACTTGACTGAAATAATCCGTTTAATGGTCCCTTTTAAGGAAATTATGGGTAAAAATCGACATTCATGTTGAAAATCTTGCAAGCCGTGTTAAACTCTCGCTGCGCATGGAGTCGTCTAAATCAATCTCATCCCTTCTAGTCTATGGCGGTGTGACCAAAGTTCGCTTTCTCAAAAAATTGGTAAGATTTCGAAAATCTGATATCACCAATGAAAAGAAGGTCATAAAATTACCCAGAAACGAAATTTTCTTTAGAATTGGGTGCGAAATTGTAAAAATATTGACAAAAGATCGGCAAATTTTGCGGTTATTTGCGTCCGTTCCGAAAAATTATCAACTTACCGATAAGGGTCTGGAAATCTTCATTTTAAGATCAGAAATCCTCAAAATTGTAAGTAAAGAGTGGTACTAACTAATTGTACGATATTTTGCCTTGCAAATTATGATATTACCTTATTTTTGATGAATCGCATTTTTTGATAAATCAACTGTAAACCAACGTGCGTGAAGTTAGGTCTCATTGTTTTTATGACTTTTTTTAGATGCAGCGCGCACGAACGATCGGACATCGAATTTTTAGATCGCGATATCTCCGAAATCATTCGACGGTAAATTTTTCTAGTTGAACCAATCTGTAGTAAAAAAAACTTTGCCGTCCATTTGGTAATAATTGAAATAAATAAAGTTGTGTAGAATGTGAGAAATCATAGATCGAATGTAACATTTTGTAATATGTTCTAAAATGTCCGCGAACTTTGGTCACCCCTTCATACGCCAAAGGCAAAATGATAATGAAGGAAAAACTGTGATAACGCCATTACGAACGTGTAGATGGCGCACATTTTTTCCTTCATAATCATTTTGCCTTCGGCGTAGACTAGAAGGGATGAGATTGATTTAGATGACTCCATGCGCAGCGAGAGTTAAACACGGCTTGCAAGATTTTCAACATGGATGTCGATTTTTACCCATAATTTCCTTAAAAGGGACCATTAAACGGATTATTTCAGTCAAGTTAGTAAGTGGAACCGATGTATTATAGCCTAGGCCTAATTTACAATTGGATATACACGAGGTAAAATGACATTTTGGGGGATTTTGGGGGCATAACAATACGACCTGAAATGGCTGTGGCGTTATCAAGGGAATGTGTATAGACGGTTTCGGTCTCTAAAGAGAGAGCCGACCCTACCCCAATAAGAGGCTAACGAACGAAAGAGATGGAAAATTCGGTCTAGCCCTAGACTAGACTGTCTGCGCATCTCTTGATCTCATTTTATTGTTTACGTTCTAGAGAGTAAGTGTGCCGAAAAAATAATTTGAGCAAGAACAATGTCACATGTCATATATTCACAAGAAGAGGTTTCTGTGTTATTTTGTCTTTGCAAAAAAAAAGTTTCCCAGACATTTTCATGTAGACTCTATCTGTGCACTCATTCACTTAACACGCAGTTCAATGTTTTTGATGTAAAAGGTTGCATTTCAAGACTTATGATTAATACTACTAAAATTAGAAATTTTACACTTAGTCTCGACCCTATTAAGTTTTTTTAAATGAATGTATCGCTATAGACTAGTAGTAGAAACGGACTTTTTGTGTTTGATGCATGTTTTGTTTTATCAGAATTGCCCAGTCCCTGTATGTACACTGTAGGGGCGGCCAAAGTTTGCGGACATATAAGAACATGTTACAAAATGTGATATTCGATCTATGATTTCTCATATTCTTGACAAATTTATTTATTTCAATCATTAACAAATGGACGGCACCTAGAAAATCTATCGTCGAAGGATTTCGGAGTTATCATGATCTAAAGATTTCATGTCCGATTGTGCGTTAGCGCTGCATCTAAAGAAAAGTCTTAAAAACAACGAGAAAAGGGTTTACAGCTAATTTATACGAAAATGTGATCCATCAAAAATAAGGTAGAATTTTATTATTTGCAAGGCAAGATATACAATTTGTCAGCAACACTTACAATTTTGAGAATATCTGCTCTCAAAATGAAGATTTCCAGACCCTTATCAGTATCGTATTTGCCGGCGATAAGGCTGCACCCCAACTTTGACATTTCAAAGTAGGAAAAAAAAAAACCGGACAAAACAAAATAATCGTAATTTTCTCGGAAAACATTTTTTTTTTACAAACTGATACCAAATTCATCAATATTTTTATAATTTACCGGAAGTTTAGCTAAAAAGTGATTGCAGGCAGATTTGGTGTCCGATATACCCCTACCACAATGTACGTTGTAAGGCGAAATTGCATGAAATGGAAAACAAAATGGCGACTTCGGATGGATGCTTCACGGCAGTTCCGTTAAACGGTCCCTTCCTTTACTTTTGCAATGCATTGGCACAAACTTAGATCAAGATATATCGGCAAATGTTGTTTTAGGAAGTTATTTTCTTCTTCATGTCCACAATGCAAGATAAAACTGTCCGTAAGATGTGTGGAAATGTCCTGTACCATAGTGGTATAGTTATTGTACCGTTTGTAGTCCCATATGTGCAAATTCGTGCTGGTTTTGACTTGGGTTTTTTTTTTTTTTACTCTTTTTCGCCACAAAGGCTGCACCCTGACTTTTTGATATTTTCTCTTCCAAAAATACTGCGGCCTTTGTGCTGGCAAATACGGTAAGTTAGTTATTTTTCGTAACAAACGCAAATGACCACAACATTTGTCGATTTCATGTCAATATTTTCAAAATTTCACACCTGATTCCAAAGAAAATTCCCTCTATAGGTAATTTTATATTCCTCTTTTCATTGGTGATATCAGAATTTTAGAATCCAGTCAAACATGCAACTAACACATAATATTTGTCTCCATCACAACATTTCTGTGATGCATAAATTCATTAAAAAAAATAATGAGGAGACCTAGATAGCTAGAAATAATAAAAAAAAAGGTCTAATATGAGTACGTTTTATCCACAAGCCCTGCATTGATATCACTTCCAAATGTGATCCGTGTGATCCACAGTTCGGTGACGTATCCACTAGAACACAAGTCTCCACAAATTGAATTGATTTGATCTAAATAGGCCTACATGTACATGTGAACATTTTAGGATGGAGTTGCAAGTCCAGGCGCATAAAGGTATAGACCAGTTTTGAAAACGCCCCCCTCTCAAAAAATCAGGCCTGATAAAAACCCGATTTAAATCGGGTTCCCGATTTTTTGATTTTTTCCTGATTTTTTTTTTCTTCCTGATTTAATTTTTTTTTTTTTAAATCTGATTTTTTTCTAAAAACATTTTTTGTTTTGTTATTTATTTTTATTTATTTTTTTTAACCAGATTTTTTTCTTCTTCTCTATTTTATCCTGATTTTCCTAATTTCCCCCTATTTTTTCCCTAATTTTTCCCAATTTTCTTACTCGAAAGGGGGGAATGTTGTTAGATGCCATTTTTCCCCCGCGAATCCTCCTCTTTTTTTATCGGATTTTAATGAAAGATATGCATCAAGTAATCGAGGCACATGTAGTTTTAGAGATTATTTTCATGTAAGAAGACTAGATAAAGGCATCAAGTTACAATTATACAATTTCCTCACAACTGAGCCGGGAGTGTCAGTTTTTGACAGCATGGCGCATCATAAATGTTCACAAATTATTATTAATCTTTTTACTACAGAGTACATTGGATGATGTTGTGCATTTACTGGAAGAAATGGGGGAAAAAAGCGTGTTTTATCTGGATTACATTTTGGATTTCACCAGAATGGTTCCAAATAATGAATGTTATTGTATAATGCAAGCCTTCGAAAACGCAAGAATGTGGGCTACATGCGAAAAGGAGGAAGTAACCTCATGTACAATGTAGTAAGTTGCAGGCCTTAAATTTCGTCATTTTTAGGGCAAGGCCAGTTTGGCCTCGAGTACCTCATATTTTTAAGGGCACCAAGGCCAAAATATTTTTACAAAAAGGGCATCGAGGCCAAAATATTTTACAAAAAGGGCA